AAAGGGATAATTATATACGATCCATAACGATTCTTCTTCTTCTTCTTCTACTCCTCATCCTCCTCCTCCGCCCCTTCCTCCTCCTTTTTCTTCTTGTTAATTTATTTAGACATTTTGCCTGACGCTAGGTTATGTGATTGGCAGTGTGACTTTTAATTGCTTGAAGTGTGGATATTAATTATTAGCACACTTTCAAAAAAATTAGACACATATCCCCATATATATATATATATATATATATATATATATATATATATATATATATATATATATAGCTGTATGTATTTGAGTTTGTGAGCCTGGGTTTCCTGGTTTTACGATCACAAAAAAAAACGTTGTATATGTTAAATCTATAGTGATATTGAGCGCCTTCCGCTAAAATAATACATATAAATACATGTAAAACACACACACACACATATATATATATATATATATATATATATATATATATATATATATATATATATACACACACACACATATATATATATATATATATATATATATATATATATATATATACACACACACACACATATATATATATATATATATATATATATATATATATATATGTGTGTGTGTGTGTGTGTGTGTTTGTGTGTGTGTGTTTTCAGGAGCAAATTATCTTTTAGGCATGTCTCATTATAGAGAAAGCGCTTGAATAAAAAGAACATTCAGTTTTTTATAAAATTTATCATCTGAAAAGAAAAAAAATATTAGATCGCATGAGAAGTTGTATAAAAGACTAAATAAGAGCACCTTTCTCTCGTATTCAATGAAATGTGCATATATATATATATATATATATATATATATGCGTGTGTGTGTATTTAGGCTGCAAATTCTCTTTTAGACATGCTTGATTAAATAGATTACACACATTAGGTCTGCTTATTTTTAGCATAATCCTTTCTTATTCACGAATATTTTCCGCGTATTACAATTAAATGACGCAAGAAGTGCCACTTAACATTGAAAATCACTTTTATTTCCCAAGTACTTTCCATCTTTTTCTGAGATCATCATCAGGGGTGCAACTTGTAAGGCAAAAGCTATGTGTAGCTATCCATTAATGATTTCTTTTCTTTTTGCTTTTAAATGCAACGACTGGCAGTTATGCTTTAGTGTTCATTAGAACGTGAAAAAATTATTGATTATGTAATTTTTTTCTTTAAATTTGGAAGGTCACGGTCAAGCGCGCACTAAAGCCTGAAAACTGTTCTTTTTATAGGAATTTTAGTACATTATTAAACTATTCGATTCTATTCAACGTTGCCTTTAATTTTATTTAATTTATATATATATATATATATATATATATATATATATATATATATATATACTAAAAAAGAAGAGTAGAGAGGTGCCGCAAACGTTTTTGCTTGTAATGTGGATTTATTTATTATATTATTAAAATAATTAATTTTTCCTCATGTTCAATGTTAAATATTCTCCATATGAGACATTTTCTGTTTGTGTGTTGGTAATCTGAATTTCTTTCTTGAACCAAACTTAATTGTTTTATGACCCTTCGCGCAGAACTCTTCATTACCAATTCAAGAAAGAAATTATAATATGTGGAATCTCCACTTTTACCTGAAGACGGTCGCGAGACCAGAAACTCGTGTCGTAAAATTATGTAAAACAAAGCATAATATTTTTTCTAAATAAATCCACATTACAACCAAAAAACGTTTGCGGCACCTCTCTCTTCTTTTTAATATACATACTTTTCTCTCGTTGGAACCACTATATTATATTTCTTTTATATATATATATATATATATATATATATATATATATATATATATATATTATAATTTTATCATATAGACAAAACCATTTTTCTCACTACAAAGATGCAACTTCGTTTCAGTGCATTTCAACTGCACTTCGACAGGTGTGAATCGAAAATGGTTATGAACAATCCTGATCGTAGGCAAACCGTATGTAAAACGTAATTTCCTTTTTTCCACTTGTTTGAGAAAAAAATATACATTGGTTGTTTAATGTCGACTGGCTTGTGGAGAAAAATAATCTCCACAGACCAGTCAATATTAAACACCCAATGTATATATTTTGAAATCATCTTCGAATACGTTTTCACAACACCGCCCACGTGACGACGACGTGATCATATTAAAACGGAACGCTGATCTTATAAAAAAAAATTCAGTTATCTGTTTGGATTAGTCTTGCTCTTGTGTCCATCGTTTTTCTCACGTTGAATCGAATATAATCTAATATTAATTATGTTTTATGAATATGTCCTGAAGATGGTCTATTTGACCGAAACGTCCGACGTTGACATTATATTAACATTAAAACAGCATAATTGCATATTAGGATTTTTGTTTGTTTTTCCGTATATTTTTCTTCGTACTGTCGGATCTATATCCATATATTTGCTTACATATATATATTTATATATTTATTTATTAAAGACATTTTTATATTTAACGTTCTTTTTTATAGATAAGCAGTAAATTCGACCTTGCCTACCGAACGCTCCTTTGTGGCCGAGTCGGTTAAGGCACGTCAGCGTAAATGACGGTTCCGTATAGGATGCAGGTTCGAATCCTGTCAAAGGACGAATATTTTCTATGAAAATTTCTCGGACATTCAGGCCGGTAAATGTTATTTAATACTGTTTATTATAAGCAGAGCATTTACTTAAATACTTGTATCTATAAAAAAGAACGTTAAACATAAAAATGTCTTTAATAAATAAATTGTCGGACTTTGTCCATTTCTTAATGTATATATATATATATATATGATTGCTTAAACTTATTTGAGATTAACAAGATTTCTCGAATATTCAGGGAGGAACACGAAAATAAATATACTGTTTGATAAATAAACGGAACATCTAAACCACTAAAAGGATACGAAACTGAATAGATATGATTATTTCTGGAGTCAGAGAAAAGTTTTTATTTAAAGGCACTATTCAACTTCGCCATCAACTCACTCCGTGACCGAGAAGTCCAAAGCACGTATGATTTAATGAAGTTTCTCCCAATGGGGACGCAGGATCGAATCCTGCCGTATCATGCATATTTTTCTGTAATAAGATTCCTCGAATATTCAGGCTGCTAGATGGAAATAAATAAATATACTGTTTAACAAATAAACGGACTGTCAAATCAAATACGAATAACCATTAAACAATAGTGATTAAGTCATAAAAATCTGCCGGATTAATAGATAAAAAATCTAACTCATTCCTTCGAAAAATATATACATTGGCGTTTCAATCACTACAGACAATCACTACGCCTGATCATAAATAAACTGAATGATTTAAAAAATGCAATTTTTATTAAACGTGAAGCTAAAATCTTTACACGGAAAAAATCACTAAAATTAATTAGTATTTAGTCCTGTAGCATTTATTGTTATCATTTCTTCTGTTCAGCGTAGCATGGAGGCCACCTGGCTCCAACTCAATTAAGGAGATATTTCGAAGATTCCAATATCTTTTTAGACATTTCTCCTGCTTTTGCTTAGATATAAAGCGCATATTCTCAGTCTATATAGGTCCGCCATTTGTCCTGTTTACACTCCTTCCCTGTCTTTAGAAAAGGTGTAGACTTTGTTTCTTGTTTAAGTTTAGGTTTCCGGTTCCTTCTAAAATATGCTTCGTCTCTATACTTCTAACGTCTATGCCTGAACTCTGAAATTTTGAATACTAATTAAGTTTTATCGCCAATAGGGGTACTGAGGTACGCCAATCGTCCTGTTCACACTCCTTTCCTGTATTTTGAACTGGTGCATAGGTTTTATACCTTGTTGCATGTTTAGGCTTGGGTTTCCCATGCCATGTACGATTTACTTTTAACGTCTCTGCCAGGACTCAGAAATTTTGACTACTAATTATATTTTATCGCGAATATGGGTACAGAGGTTCGCCTTAGTCCTGTTCACAATATTTCCCTGTCTTTTAAACAGGTTCTTAGGTTTATACCTTGTTTCTTGTTTAAGATTGGGTTTCCGGTTCCTTCAAAAAATATGCTTCATCTCTATACTTCCAACGTCTATGCCTGAACTCTGAAATTTTGAATACTAATTAAGTTTTATCGCCAATAGGGGTACAGGGATTCGCCTATCGTCCTGTTCACACTCTTTCCCTGTCTTTTGAACAAGTGCATAGGTTTATACTTTGTTGCCTGTTTGGGCTTGGGTTTCCCATGCCATCTAAAATTTACTTCTAACGTCTATCCATGGACTTTGAAATTTTGAATACTAATTATTTTTGTCCTAAATAGTGGTAGATAGGTTCGCCTATCGTTCTGTTCACACTTCTTATCTCGACCTTTTGAACAGGAGTAGAGTATTTAAAGCATGATTTAAGTTTGGTTAGTCCAGGATATGGGTGTTGTAGATCTCTAGTCTGTTCCAGGCTTTCCTCGGGACATTAGCTACTGGAACTTAATGTTACTTCAAATGTTCCTTAATTTTGATTTTCTCTTCTAAGTCCCTTCAGTCCGTTCATGTCTCCACAACTTCCTTTTCTTTATCTGTGATTTGTCATGCAAGGCTTTAGGAAGATAGTGGAACAATTTAGTCTTACGAACTCCAGAGTTTAGAATTCATAATGTTCGTTTATTTAAATAGGTAACACTGGTTGGCTCGCTATTTAATCCATAGCTGGTGGGAAGAGAGGAGATGGATTTATGACATTTCGATGGATATTCATATTAAGGTAAAGGAAACAGCCATGCTTTGGATTTGATCTTAGCTAGGTGATTCCACTTTCTGCGCTGATAACAGTTACACTGTCATCGCGGATGACAGAATTTAATCAATTTAACGACATAATCACTTCAAGAGAGAGTAAGAGAGAAAAGAGACAAATATAAATTTTGGATAAGAAGGAAAAAATTGAAGAAGGAATTGTTTAGCAGAACAAATAAACTAAAGAATGAAAGATGGGATGAGTAGAAAGGAAAGCAGGAAGAATGGATTAGTAGAAAGAAAGAAAGAAGAGATTAGTAAAAAGAAAGAAGGGAAGAAGTGTTCAGTAGAAAGAAAGAAAGAAAGAAAGAAAGAAAGAAAGAAAGAAAGAAAGAAAGAAAGAAAGAAAGAAAGAAAGAGTGGATTAGTAGAAAGTAAAATATGACAAATTTATTAGTAGAGAGAAAAATAAACAGATTAGCATAAAGAAAAGAGGTAAGAATGGCCCAAAAGAAAGAAAGAAAGAAAGAAAGAAAGAAAGAAAGAAAGAAAGACGGGAAGACTGGATTAGTCGAAAGAAAAAAAAAGAATAACGGATTAGTAGAAAAAGAGATTTTTAAAAAGTAAGAAGGAATGAATAACACGATAGAAAGAAAGAAAGAAAGAAAGAAAGAAAGAAAGAAAGAAAGAAAGAAAGAATGATAAATGATAAAGAAGAAATGAAAGGATTAAACAAACGAAATAAATAAGAAAGAAAAAGAAACAAACAATAGAAAGGAAGAATGAAAGATTGCATGGGTGAAAGAAAGGAAGAAAGGAAGAAAGAAAGGAAGAAAGGAAGAAAGAAAGGAAGAAAGAAAGAAAGAAAGAAAGGAATAATTTAAAGAAAACTACGAAGACTGGCTTACTAGAAAGAAAAAAATGAAGAGATTTGTAAAAAGGCAGAAGGAAAGAATAGCTCAGTAGAAAGAAAGAAAGAAAGAAAGAAAGAAAGGAAGAAAGAAAGAAAGAAAGAAAAAGGAAGAAAGAAAGAAAGAAAGAAAGAAAGAAAGAAAGAAACGGGATTATCAAAAAGACAGAAAGAGCAAAAAATTGAACACTTTCAAGTTTCCGTTGGCTGCAAGTACACGTTGCCCGACCCAGGGATTGAACTCACTGTCACCATGTCCCTAGTGACTAAAAAGCATCGTGTTGTGAATTTGTCGTCATTGGGGGTTCATTTCTTGGGTCGGACGGTGTATACTTGCACTCAGTGGAAACAGGCGAACAACAACTGAATAACAATAAATAAAATTAGAACGAGACGACATATTCATAATCACGAGCAGTGGAACGAGAACAGTCTAACCCCGTTGATTAAATAAAGGGTTCTGTTTATAATTCCCTGTAGGTTACTCATATCGATAGACACCTGAGGAAGGCCGGAGGGCACACCAGCCGATACATTGTGATAACAACATCAAAGATGATGACAATAGTCACAATATAAATAACTTCAATTTTTGGGCAACTTTTTGAAATCCAGAGTGTAACCACAAGTTTTAGCTTATGTTGTATATGTGAAAAAAACTTATCAGATTATATCTCCATCGGTTAAAAGGGAAGTTTGAGAACAGTTAATCGAACTGTACAATGATTATATTGATAGGATTTTTACCATTTATCAAATTCTTGATAAGCTAGAAGATATTAGATTTTAAGTAGTTTTTGTAGATAATACTAATTTACTGATACAAGTTCTACTAAATAAACTCATAGCTGGGGGGAGATGAGATGGATTAATATTTTTCCCAAGGGTTTTTGCGCGGAAATGACTATAACGAACCTAAGTGGAATTTGAACTCGGCTTTCCGAATTATCTATAACACCAGCTGCACATCCAACCTTTAGGCAGCTGGTATTCCCAAAGTGTTGCTTAACTTCGGTGATCGCTGTTTCAACGTGATCTGAGAGTTAAGGTTTTTTTCAAAAGTCTTTAGGGAGATTAAATATATTCTTTAAAATCTATTCATGTCTTGTCGTTCTACGAGTGCTACTATATAACCCACTAATACGGTTACCCACTACCAGGAACTTCCAGCGTGGAAGATGACTCGACACTCAGCAGGGTTAAAAAAAAAAAAAAAACAGTCAAAAGGCGGATGAACATTCTTATTGGGCCACCGGGCATCTAACACAATGAGATCGACTGAGTTCTATAACCCTGGATGCAGCCAGTTCAATGATGGCACAGCGTCATTCGCAGGGGTTTTCTAGACGACCACAGCGGAGGTTTTCCCCGTCGATGGTATCAACGTGCTTGTAACCATGTTGAGTGTTTATTTTGGAGGACATTGGCTGTGGATTGTTCCGGAGAGGGATCAACTCCACCAGGTCTACTTGTCGAAGACACGCTATACATGAAGGAATACAACCCCGTCTTTTAACTCATATATACAGGGGCAGCAAATGTAGGTATACAGTATTATACTACTACTACTAATATTAAAATACTAGTTCTATGAGTCATAATATAATTCATTAGAATTATTTTTTAATATTTTATTTTCATAATTCTTATTATAATATATTTCTTATAAGTTTTTTTAATAAATAATAATAATAAATAATAATAAATAAATAATAATGAATAAATAATAATAAATAAATAATAAATAATAATAATAATAAATAATAAGAAGAAATAAGAAATAATAATGATAAATAATAAATAATAAATAATAATAAATAAATGATAAATAATAATAATAATAAATAATAATAATAATAAATAACAATAAATAAATAATAAATAATAATAATGAATAATAAATAATAAATAATAAATAAATAAATAAATAATAATAAATAATAATAAATGATAAATAATAATAATAAATAATAATAATAAAAATAATAATAATAAATAATAAAAATAATAATAATAAATAATAATAATAAATAAATAATAAATAATAATAATGAATAATAAATAATAATAATAAATAAATAATAAATAATAATAATGAATAATAAATAATAAATAATACTAATAAATAATAATATATAAATAATAAATAAATATAAATAATAAATAATAATAAATGATAAATAATAATAATAAATAATAATTAAAATAAATAAATAATAATAATAATAAATAATAATAATAAATAAATAATAAATAATAATAATGAATAATAAATAATAAATAATAATAATAATTAATAATAAATAAATAATAAATAAATAATAATAATAAATAATAATAAATGATAAATAATAATAATAAATAATAATAATAAATAATAATAAATAAATAATAAATAATAATAATAATAAATAATAATAATAAATAAATAATAAATAATAATAATGAATAATAAATAATAAATAATAATAATAATTAATAATAAATAAATAATAAAATTAATAATAATAATAAATAATAATAAATGATAAAAATAATAATAAATAATAATAAATAATAATAAATAAATAATAAATAATAATAATAAATAATAATAATAAATAAATAATAAATAATAATAATGAATAATAAATAATAAAAATAATAATAATTAATAATAAATAAATAATAAATAAAATAATATTAAATAATAATAAAAATAAATAATAATAATAAATAATAATAATAAATAATAATAAATAAATAATAAATAATAATAAATAATAAATAATAATAATAAATAAATAATAAATAATTATAATGAATAATAAATAATAAATAATAATAATAATAATAAATAAATAATAAATAAATAATAATATTAAATAATAATAAATGATAAATAATAATAATAAATAATAATAATAAATAATAATAAATAAATAATAAATAATAATTATAAATAATAATAAATAAATAATAATGAATAAATAATAAATAATAATAAATAAATAATAATACATGATAATAATACTTAATAATAATGAATAATAATAAATAAATAAATAATAATAATAAATAATAATTATAAATAATAATAAATAAATAATAAATAATAAAAACTAATAATAATAAATGATAATAAATAAATAATAATAAATAAATAAATAATAATGAATAAATAATTATAATGATAAACAAAAAATAATAATAATAATAAATAATAATAATAATAAATAAATAATAAATGATAATAAATAGTAATAATAATAATAATAATAAATAATAATAATAATAAATAAATAATAAATGAAAATAATAATAATAATAATAATAATAATAATAATAAATAGTAATAATAATAATAAATATTTTGCAGGTAATGAAGAGCATGGGAATGGCAGGGTCAAACATTTTAAACATTTTTGGCGGTGGTATGTTTATTGATATGTTTATTATTGAGATATTTATTAGTTATATGATTATGTAAGCAATATAAAACGTTTTGTGCGCACGTTTTCTTTTTCATAATTAATTTATTCACTGAGTCTACAAAAAAAACTCGACAGAATGCAGAAAGCATTGGACGGACGTTTCGTCCTATATTTGGGACTCATCATCAGTAGTGCATCCACTACCGTCATACCAACATTACCAACGGGCCTCAGCGACGAAGAGGTAACGAATTAGACTCGATATAGCACCACTCTTCACAATTCTTTCTGCATTCTGTTGAGGTTTCTTCTAGAGTCGATGAATTACTTAATTATGATTATCTCAAATCCTCCTAATAATTTCTATCTATATAATATATATATATATATATATATATATATATATATATATATATATATATATATATATATATATATGTATGTATAAATGCAGGTATGCAAAAATATAAAAAGAACACGTTGGGTACATAATCCGGAGTTCTTAGTATTTTTTTTTTTATTTTAAGAAGACAGTGCTCCATACGAAAGTAGAGCTTATATTAAAATATTTTTTTGTTTATAAATATGATTCCTTCCCTACATTATGTTTCTAAATAATGAAAAATTATCAAACCATAGGCAGGAGTTAACTGTTTTTTGCCGACATCAACAAATTTTCGCATTAAATAATTAGCATAAAAAAATCCCATAGTTTAATAAAAGTCTGAAAAGCTTAGCCAAATCATTAAATAGGAAAAAACCTTTCTGTATTCGTCAAAAAACAAATTGAAATTCAGTGCAATACGGTTTGTATATAAAACACCCACTTGAATAAACAAATAAATAAATAGATAATCAGATAGACAATAATAAAACACAATCCTCCCGACACATAACGACTTGTAGGCGCACCATAAAATATCACTCACTGGGAACCAACTAAAGGATGACCGCCAACATTAGCCTTGAAATATATACCCTTCCCAACCTTAGCAAAACCTCTCAGAAGATCTATAGATCAGAATTAACTCTCTGACCACTTAACAAAAAAATAGTCTAGCCACTCCCACAATAATGAATGTTATAACAGACAGTGCCTAAAAACACACGTAAACCAAGAGATAGCTCATTCCGAAAATTCCGCTTGAAGATGAAACAGGACTAAGCACCTCAATTCAACTTAATTTTAATAAGCATTTGGATGGTTTCGGCTCTCGTTTTTGAAACATGAGAACTCTTATGTAGCGAAGGAATCATATTTTAAACAAAAAAATATATATATATATATATATATATATATATATATATATATATATATATATATATACAATTGCGTCCAGCATGAAAACACCCTGTCACCTCTGAGAGTTGACTTCAATGTTCACTTTTATATTTATATTTACATATGCTCTATCTCTGATATTGAGCACATATCACATAAATATAGCACACCATCAAACTATATTTTTCTATATATATATATATATATATATATATATATATATATATATATATATATATATATATATATATATATAAAGAAGTAATCATCCAAAGAATTAATCCCGTAAAGTTAATGTAATTAATGGTGAAATCACTTCGCTAACAGATCAAAAAACTATAATATTAACTTACTAAAAACTTTCTGAATGGTGAGATCCTTATGTTTAAAATTATGAGATAGATTAAATGTTCTGTTACAAGTACTGTGAGAGAGTTGTTAGTAAGTTAATATTATATTCTCTCGCCAAATCATAGGTATGCCAAATGCCAATTTATCACGTGTTCCCTTGG